CATGACAAAAATGAGCTAGCAGTTCACATGGCTAGACTGCAATAGTGTGCCCACTGCTCTAGATCTGGACCCCATGAGAGGGACAGCGGCACATGTAGAGCCTCATCTGACATGGAAATGACATGCTGCAAAAGATGTGCTGGCCCCGAAACTCCTTGTGGAGGAAGAACCTAAAAGCATCTGTCAGAACTGATAAGCCTGCTTCTTTGCCTCAGGAAGAGTTTGTATAGTTATTCAACTACATCTTGAGTGTGACACCAATGAACCTGTGAAAGCACAACTGGGTGACAAGGTGCTCTAAGACCTGAAGAGGACAGGAGAAATCAAGACAATTTTTCTATGTTTTGCATTAAAAAGGGCCTGAATAATTCTTAAGTGAAAAACCTGTTTCTTACCAAGATCTTATAAGCTACCTTAGCACTATTAGCCTATAGAAGAAGCAAGGTAATGCAACTTAAATACGTGTTCTTCCTTTGCAAATCAGGCAACAGCAAATGGCTTCCTTTTCCACGGTGACCAGGAATGCACGTACAGAAAGCTGGAGCCCAGTTATCACTCATGCTGTACTTAATGAACATTTAGTCAAAGCCCAGATGTCCTCTGGTATCTTGAGGTGGTGTAGCAAATGTGAGATGCCCATGAGGAGGCTCAGTCACGCATCACACCCAGGGCAGCTCCTTCACTTCTTACAACCTGCACCATCTCCATGCAGTTAGGTTACAGAGCCAGCTTTCTGTCTCCAGGACCAGACATGGTGGCTCGCTCAGCATTATTAGCATTACCTAAATCCTTTGCAAGCAGAAAATCAAATTCCCAAGCCAGTTATGCTGATGCTATCATTAATATTGGCCAATAAGTACATTATCACAAGCTGGCTTAAGCTACAGCTCTAACTGTTGGAAACATAAGCAGGTAGATGCATTACCAAGTACTTTATACATTTGGATTTTGCATGGAAGAGAATGTCAATGTATTTCTAAACCTAGGAGGAAAAAAAACAAACAGAATGCCATGAGTTTTCACTGGTTTTAAGGAAAAAAACAAATGCCTTTTCTTCAATGTTTTTTTCTTACTTTGAGTCCTGTAAGATTTTGTCTAGGAATTCATTTTGGGTCTAAACTACCTCTAATTTTATTTAAGTGCAGAATAAGTATTTCTATCTTCTGAACACTCAAGCGTATTATACCGATTCATCATGTTATAGCACGTGTTCCATAAACTGCAGGAAATACCATCATCTGAAATGCACGCTTCATTCAGGATCCCAGCTTATTTCCAGCACAGCAAAAAAAGATGAAATCATAAGAACTAATAATCAGAGGCACTTTTATGGGTCTCAATGCTCCTGACTCTCCAAGTTCTGTAACAACAGAAACTCACTTAGAGAATAATGATGTTCTCAATATTTTTTTCCCTGTTGCTGCCATTTATACAGTCCTAAGGGTGCTGTCTGGGAAAATAACAAGAGCTACTACAGAACAGCTCACTGTCAGCATTGAACATCAGCCTAAGTGAGACAGAGATCAACCTGAAGCGCACTTTACAAAGCCTGTCTTCAGACCTGGGGTAGATGCTTGATGGCAGGAATTGCATCCGTCCTCCGCCCACACCACCCCCTGCTCTCTGCAAACTGAATCAAGGCAGAAACCTTTCAAGCAGGTGCTGAATGGGAACAGTTAACACTTGCCCTACTCTTCCTTTCCGCAGTGTGAAAGATCCAGAGGTACTTCTAGGGATAACAAGTGGGTAGCATACCTGTTCTCCACCAATGGTCTTCCCAGGTGAATGGTGGATGATCACTGTGATGCCAGGTAAGTCGGGCAACTTCAGCTTCACTGCAATACCTCCTACCTAGAAAGTTATTTTATCAGACATGTCACGAAATACCCATCACATGGCAGATGCCATTAAGTAGTACTGGCTTGCTACGTCCTCTTATGCAGATCAATCAATGAACTTTATACAGCTAGTAAAATTGTACCACTGTAAAACCAACATAGCTGGGAGGAAAAAGGCTTCTTGCATGCTGCCTGTTAAGCACATGCACTTAACAGCCCTTATTTCACACGTGGTGTGCTTTTTTCTTCCATGTTCACCAAATGGTACTTTTTTCCCTTTAATGAGCATCCCTCCTCAGGTTTCGGATCCAGGGCTCTTTGGAGAACAGGTGGGAGAAGCTGCTGACTAGCACCAGGGGTACATTTTGGATCACAAGCTATTCTGTTGTTCAGGAGGTGCCTGCAAAACAGAGAAGTCATCCCATTGAATCCCACCCCACAGCCCTCTCCGCACAGAGGCATAGTCACTCTGATAGCGTTCTCCCTCCTTCATTGCTCTGGCACGTTCAATAGCTCTACATTAACCTTCAGGGGTCAGTTCACTTAATGAGTTGGATGAACGGTTTCATCGCTTTGCTTTCAATTGATTACGAAAAACAATCTTAGTGAATTCATGAGTCCCTTTGTGCTCCTCAAACTGTAAATTAGTTAATTTATGCTGCACGTACAAGTTACATACTTGTTTATGCACTGGATTGCTAAAACCCTGAGAAGAGAGGGATAAGCATGTGGGAGTGGAGGTGAGTTTATGGACATAATTATACAGCATTTTCCAGCTTGTTTTTCACTATCTGTTAAAGCAACAACCCAGGCACCAGCAATGAATCCAGACAAACCCATGCACAGCAACAACTGGATACTGACTTCAAAGCCCCTGAATTTGAAGACAAGATGATGCCTACTCCATGTAAACTTCCAGGCTTCGCCATACACTGCACCCCTCAGGACACGCTTATAACAAGGGACTTGGCTGTCCTCCTTGCTTCTTTGCCCCTGGAGATGGACTCCTTCCCTGCATCACTGTATAGCAAAACTCTTAACACAGTCACCTTGTACCACATGGCATTTACATAGCTAGAATATGAACAGCATGAGATTTAAATGGCCGGGCCAGGGTTTAGACAGCACATCATTTCTGGCAAATGTTCTTGTTAAAAGAGTCACAGTTGGACGTGTGATTTTCTGTGCATTTTCCTCAAGGATCAGGAGACTAAAAAGCCATCATCTCTGAAGGGCAAGACAGCTAACTCCTACTGATGTGTTTCCAGGGGAACCAATGTCCCCACTGACTGCAATATTTCCTCCTAAAATCTGCGATTTCGCTTTTCATCACCCAAGCATTAGATGCTTCCTCAGACCTGTAAACAATTCTGTTTGCATCTCATCTCTTCAATTCCATCTTAAACTCATGTTTATCGCACTTTAACAGCACATCACTTTAAAAGTGTTCTTCTTGTGAGCCAAATGTACCCACAAGCATCAGGTCAGCTAAAACCTTGAATATATACATTGAGAAAAATAATATCAACTTCTCTGGCATTTCCACTTGGCCAGAGCCAGTTCACACCACTCCAATGTTCAACTATGATGAAATTAAGTTTCCAGACAATTCTCCTTCACTATTCATCTCTCCTCCAAGTCTGCTGTGCCGAACTGAATGAGTTTCAGTTCCCAATGGAATTCTCGTGCTTTTCTCAAAAAATCAGAATAAAAAATGCAAGTGTAAAAATGCAAGAAACACCCCCAAATTTGCACTAATGCTGTGGGGTTTGTTGTACAACCTCATTTACTGGATGTCCACACAGGTTCTTTCCTCCCTGAATTTTCCCATGTAGAGCTTGTCACCTCAAAGCTGTTGGACAACTCCCTCCCTGTCATCTATGTCCTCTATTGAGAGAGGAGCACACACTGGTCTCATTTCTTTGTCCATATAAAACAGTGTCGACAGCCAAAGTTGCTGCCCATCCAGTCATCAGGCTGCATTAACAGCACAGTTGTATGTACTGCCTGACCAGAAGATGGCCCTATACAGCCATGTCCAGGGGACAACAGCCTTTTTCTTCTCTCATAATTAAGCAGGGACAAGAAGCACACCTGGGGACAAGAAGTGCAGGAAACAAGAAGTTCTCTCCCTTCCCTCCTCCCGATGCCTTAAGTAAGTATTCTCTTTATGAATTGCAAGCTCTGGAAGATGAAGGCCTCTCCAAGGAGAAAACAGCAAAGACTTCTCCCCATGTATGGTTGATGAAAACAACATTTAACCAGTACCTGAAGTTTTGCAAGAGACATGAATGCCAGCCACAGAGCTTTTTAGATGGGTGACAGTAAAGATAACTCACAGAATATGTTGGTATAAAGCTTGCTTTTGTGTCACTTGCTTCTGCCTGTAGATCTAAGTCTTGTCAAGTTTGCCTTACAGTGCATTGAGTTTATACTTCTCTAGAACCACAATGTTAATCTGTTGAAATCTTGATTCACATGGGCTGGTAACAGCTACAGGACCTGGAGATGCCTGTTCCCAGGAAGGGCAGTCCATAGGCAGACTGAAGTCACTGCTCGCAGATGCTTCAGAGGCATCAAGGGCACTCCACGGCTCATCCACTAATCCATGCAGACCACTCAGCATTAATTGCGTGCTGAGCTATCTAGAAATCAGTGTGGGAAGATGGTATTAGCCAAGCCATCATTGGTAGCAACAAGTTATGACTCGAGTCCTCTAAGGATTTCCATTGAATTCAGGACCTTTGGAAAATCCTGGCTTCAGAAATGGACTCCACAAAGTCAGGAAGCTCCAGAAGTACATCTGCAGAGGGATCTGGCTAGCTTTGGTATTTCCTGAAAGCACATCAGTTACTATTACACACATGCACATAATATTTGGATGGATTAAAGCTCAAACCCAGGGCACAGGTGCTACCCAGCTCCTAAACAGATGAATCCACTGGCTTGGTACAGCCTTGAGGCAGTTTTTTCCTTTTGCCTTTCTTATGGATCTATGGCCAAACACAAACTTTCTTCTCCCCACCTCACTGTCATTTCAGGTTGATGCATTATGCGTATGGCCTAATTTCTGACATGCTTCCTGGGATTAGATGAGTAATAAGAAGTAGTGCACTCTTATGGGTCTCAGACAAAAAGACAATTGCACATGCACAGCCTGTGTTCTGTACAAAACAAGTCACATAATGAACACATGCACACTTTGGAAAAAGCACATAAACCAGGTAAATCATTGCCAGCAGCCTCTGGGGCAAGCCCCTTGCCCAAATTGCTCTATGGACAGCAGTTTAAGTTCTCCCCAGCTGGGTAATAAGACTGTGATTCAGTTTCCAACGCACACAGTTTAATCTGCCCTCCATTAGGTGAGACAGACAAGACTAAATGAAGTAACATTGGTTTCCCAGGGTAAGCCTGGGTGCTTTGTGCCCTGGGTTCAGCAGCAGCAGTCATTTTTCTCCTCAGTAGCTGGTGCAGTGCTGTGGTTTTGACTTTCAGCCTGGGAACAGCGCTGATAACACTGATGTTTTAGTTGCTGCTCAGTAATGTTTAGTCTGACCAAGGACTTTGTGAGCCTCATGCTCTGCCAGGGAGGAGGGGAAGCAGGGAGCAAGCAGAGACAGGACCTGACCCAAACTGACCAAAGAGGTATTCCATGCCACAGCACGTCATGGCCCACTATAGAAACTGGGGGCAGTTACCCGGAAGGGCTAGATCACTGCTCGGTCAGGCTGGGTATCGGTCGGTGGGTGGTGAGCGGTTGTGTTCTCTTCCCTTGTTATTCCCCTTATCATTATTATTATTGGTGGCAGCAGCAGTGGTTTGTGTTATACCTTAGTTACTGGACTGCTCTTATCTCAACCCATGGGGGTCACATTCTTTCCCTTCTCCAGGAGTAGGGGGAGGAAGTGGGGGGAGTGAGCGAGCGGCTGCGTGGTTCTGAGTTATGGTTGGGCTTAAACCACAACACTTTGTTAAATCAAAATCTAAACACTGGCTGCTGTGAGGAAAACTAATTCCGACTGGAGAGGTGATGATCACTGCTACCTTTGCTGCCAATGAGAGTTAGCATGTAACCTAAGAGAGCCTGGTCTTGAAGCACAGGAGGAGTGCAGCAAGCACCAGGAAGCCCTCAGTCAAAGTACATTAACACATCAGAATCCTTTCATTGATTCCCTAAAAGCACTAAGTTGAAATTATCTTTGAAAATATAGAGAAGATTTTGGGAAAAACGGGTTTAAACATGAGTCTCTTTCCATGCCCAATTATGCTGTACTCCCTTCTGTCAGTGGCTTAACATGAGGGTAGTCACAAGCAGTTTATTTGGGGGAAAAAGGGCTTATATATTAAGGAAAAAGTCATGCCTGGGTTTTATACAGCAAAATAATACTGCTGAAACTACAGTCACCAATTGACCTTTGCTACATGCACACAAACACACCACACCTAGAGGCATTCTGACTTCTATTGCCATCATTCCCCATTCTTCACAAGCTGCTAGCACCAGCACTTTTCCAACTCAAAGGCAACGTGGCTCATTACAGTCAGAAAGAGATAGGAGGCAGGAGAGCACATGTGTTTCTTAAAGGACTATAACAAGAGGGAATGAAAAATCCTTCAGCTCCATTAAATACATAGCATATAAAAAATTAGCCAAGTTGGAATTACACGGCCAAATTACATACACAGATAATTGGTACAAGATAATTGCTACTAAGTTAAGCTCCCATCTAAAGGGTGGTGAAATCACAGATGGGGGAAGTGAAATGAGGAGGAGGTGTAAAGTTAGCCCTGATTACGCCTTGTTTGACTTGACCGTTTGAACAGCTAATCCTCTGCTAACATATCTGTTTTCAGAGATACCTCATTTTTAAAAGGCTGGATCAGTTTGTGCCTAATGTCATACTCAGGACGGTTTTGATGCGATCTTCAGTTTTGGGGGGTGGTGGCAGGTTGTTTTACTCTGCTTCAGATTGATGAATCTTTAATCACATTGATGGGGAAAAGTTAATAGAAAAATTAATGAAAACACAACAGCAGTGGCTGTGATTGTGTAAGGAATAATAATAAGGAGAACAACAGGTGCAGTCTGTTCGATGGCCCAATTTGGAATACTTCATGCCCAATTACAGACACACTCATTTTCTACAAGGCAGACAGTTGGATAAGAAAGAGATTATAATTTTCTGCTTTATGACTACTGTATAGAATACCTAAGGTCATAACATGGATGATTTATGGGAAACAATAGTTCTCATAGGACAGCTGCATGAAAAGGAGCCCAGCTCTCCCCTGCCTTGCAAAGGTATAAGCAGAAGGACCCCAGCGAGCCTTGTGAAGGCAAAGCATCCCAAGTGAGCCTTGTTTTACAACAATCACAACAAACAGAAGAGTTTCTCCTTGAATTCAATGCCCAGATGCAGATTTCCTGGTGAAAGAAGGAGGCTGGGGTACAATCATGTCCTGCACATACTCCCCCCCCACACACACCTTCTCCACTCTTTCTTCCCTCCATGTCCCTGCTACGGGTTATATCCGTGCTCCACCTGCACTGCTTCTCTTGCAAAAGGGATACTCCCCCCCTTGAAAACAACCACCTGCAGGCCCTTCATTTGGTAGCATCCTCTTTTGATGTCCTAGATGGCTCCCTCTTTTACCCTGGCAGAAATACAGTTCTACCTTATACAAGGAACTGCAGGATCTCCGTATTGCCTCTGTCCAACAACCCCCCTGATTTTAATGCTAAATGAGAAAAAAGCCATAAAATGAGGAATGACCCCAAACCCAACAACCCTGTCACCAGAGTCCAGACCAAACTCCTCACTTCAAAACTGCAAAGTACAACACTAGGATTTCAACTTCCTCTATTGGAACCCACAGTTAGTAAATTCTAGGCCAAACGTATCTGAAGACAAAATCCAACGGGTGGTTTTACCCCTCTGTTTTCCCAGGTTGGGTGGTGGTTGTGCTTATTTGGGTGGTTGATTTGTTCTATATCTTCCAAACTGAAACTTAGTTCAACCTCTGGTGAACTGATACTTTTGAACCAGAGAATAGACTGTTGGGAAGTCTGGAACTGGATATACTTCAGGCACAGCAGAAGTTCAATATGACTTAATGACATAAACCACTTTCTGAGTACTTCAAGTCTGCAAGATGACAAAGACCTTGCTTATCAGTATAAATATAACTCCTCAGATTGCTGCTGATCCCAATGAGGAAAGTCTTTGAATCCAATGCTAACTGCATCTGCCTGTGGTCTACGCAGGGGCAAAACACCTGAGAGAAACAATTGTTTGACTTATTAAACTCACCTGAAGTTTAAGGTCACTGCTTTAACAGGATCTTGTTTAGAGACTCTCCCTCTTATTGATTTGGGTAGAGCATAAGGGTTAGGAGTGGAGTGCAAAAGAAAAAGCAATATGATTTAAACTAAATTACTTCTCTTGCTACCCAGGGCAAAAATTCAATGAGGTCTGAAATAGGTCAAGTCCTGTTTTATCAGCTGCCACCTTAATCAGTCTGGATGTGGGAAGCTGTTAGCCACCCATATGGCTATTTTAGCTAAACAAGATATTCTCTATGATTGGGAGAGGCATTTTCAGGTTCATAAACTTGTAAATAATAATTTTTTGCGAGGGCTGTATCAGAAATGGGTTTCATGTTTTACACTGCGTGCCCTACAGGCACAGAAGACGACGTTGATAAAGTCTTACAATTATACACTAGCAAAAAGGGGCACACATCAAGATTCATATCACGTTAGCTCACCTAGAAGGCCTTACCACCAGTTAAACAATAACCTGGTACCTGCTGACACTGAAGGAGAGCACAGAATCAGAGCAAAGCCAAGCCAGCACTCGGTTCTATCTCTGAGCCTGAAAAAAGCGCTTTAGGATGAGTACAAGGATGGGAAGGAAGGCATTTCCTGTGCCTTCCCCACTATGCTTTTCCAGGATTTAAGGCTCAGAGGGCTTTTTGAACCAGACACAGTGCCTTTCTCTACATAGTATCCATATTATTCTTCCAGGAGTTTGCCTATAAATTGTGGTCATCCGTGGCAGCACAGGGCAAAGAATCCCACAGTTTCGCTTCATATGGTTTAAAAGAGCCTTCTGAGATAAACAGGGAATGAGCCTCCAAAAGTTATTCCTAGACAGGGAACTGCGTGCTATCAACCTCCCACTGGAGCTACAGGGTTTTCCACTGTGTAAAGAAATTGCTAGCTGCAGCATTAGAAAGAAAAGACAATGTTATCTGAAGCAGTGCCAGAATAGCTCCTTATCTGTTTGTTCAGGGTGCCTGTAAGGTACACTGAAACAGGCAGGACTTGCATAACCCATAAATGCAGGGCAGCAGAGCACCACAAGCCCATGCCACAGCAGTGTGTGTGCGGTATATATAAGTGAATATAGATCTGCAGTCTCAATTCTGTAATCATTGATGCAATCTAATGCACACGGCCACTTTTCAAGTTCTTTTTATATCCTTTGCTAATGTCCTCTCTGCTAAGAGGATGCAAAAAAAAAATCACAGCTATGTGCTTAAAAGAGAAAGCTCTGCTTCTACTTTGGCTATTCCCTATAGTGAAAAGCTAAGGATGCCCAGCATTCAGAAGATTAAAAAACAGAGAGAGAAGCAAACACACACAAATCCCTTAAAGGTCTGTGGGGAGCCAGCAAACAGAACTTCAGAGCACTGCGGGTGAGCAGTAAATATTGCTCACAAAAGGGGCTCCTATCAGGTTTTCACTGGTCATTATTGCTAGGACACTCCTAAAGATGGCAATGTGTGCACTCACATTAAAGATTTCCACTGCTGAGATACTCCTGGGTCCTATTTAGCACCCATCCTACAGGAATACCTGCAAGGGCACTTCTGTGAGGGCAAGCCCACCAGTCCATCACAGCTGCAGAGCATCTACCATGATTGTACACAGCAGGAACCCTTTGCAGCTGATTGCTCTGCCCAGCAGCTGGACTGAGCCAAAATAAGCAAGAGCAATTAAGCAGGGTGTGAACCTGAGTGTGGAATAGCTCAAGGACTGCAGAGGTGGGGTTGACCAGAGACAGGCTCCACAGCAGTAGGATTAGAGCAATGCTCTGTACTGAGGTCTCATAAGACCTGTAACAGGAGGACCAGTGAACTAGGAGAAAAAGGCAGGGACCCAAATCTGGGGTAATGCAAGGAAAAGCTTTGGAACATACAGGAACTTTGCACCACTGCTCACAACCCGACCTCCCAGCACCCACATTATCACCTTCAAAGCACCTCCTGTATGAAGACAGGCTGAGGAAGTTGGGGCTTTTCAGCCTGGAGAAGAGAAGCTACGTGGAGACCTCAGAGCAGCTTCCAGTGTCTGAAGGGGGCCTATAGGGATGCTGGGGAGGGACTCTTCATTAGGGACTGTAGTGACAGGACAAGGGGTAACGGGTTCAAACTGAAACAGGGGAAGTTTAGATTGGATATAAGGAGGAAATTCTTTCCTGTGAGGGTGCTGAGGCACTGGAATGGGTTGCCCAGGGTGGTTGTGAATGCTCCATCCCTGGCAGTGTTCAAGGCCAGGTTGGACAGAGCCTTGGGTGAGATGGTTTAGTGTGAGGTGTCCCTGCCCATGGCAGGGGGTTGGAACTGGATGATCTTAAGGTCCTTTCCAACCCTAACTATTCTATGATTCTATGATTCTATTTATTTCACAATATGAATCAATTCATTAATGCAGTACCCCTGCTTAGTACAGTAGGAAAAGCTTATCTCTGCCGTACCAGCATGCAAGCCAATCCCAACCCATCACTTCTCAGGTACTAGAATTACAGGACACAATAACTAGAACCAGGACCCTTACCTCTTTATTCAGCCCATCATTTTGCTTCCTTCTGGAGAACTCAAGCTAAGAGGAAGAGCAATTATACACAGCTGCCCCATCAGCATCACCAATGGCTGTAAGCAACCTGCAGCTGCTGCTCCAAGAAGTCAAGCCTTAATCAGAGAGTATCAAGCCCAAGTCCCCTTGAAACAATAGCCAAACTGAAGGATGTTTGTGGAACAGAGACTTTGTGCTTGCTAGTGTTCCTCTGAGGTGTATCTGTTCAAAGATTTAGTTCCCGAGCAAAAGCATAGCAATTGGCTAAGATGCTTCCCCATCTCTTTCTGATTTTGGAGTGTTGCTGTAAGAACAGAGAGGCAGCATGTGGGGACACTGACACATTTGCTGCTAGTTAAAACCCGGTTCTCTGCCTCACTCTCTTGTAGAAGTGCTTGTGGAGCAGGAGCTGCTCAGGAAACAGGGTGCTGGGTACAGGTCAGTCCTGGTGATAGGATGCATGAAGTGGGTCCATGCTCCTGATACAGCTTTTCAAGCATCAAGCTGCCTGCTCAATTGCTTAAAATGGTGTTCTCGGGGTAGCTGAGCACCAACTATGAAACACAGTCAGGCAAACAGAGATTTGGATCAACTCCTGTTGCTACAGAGGCCCCACCATCTGTGTTTAATATCAGCTCAAATCTCTATGCTACAGTCACCTCAGAAAATCTAGCCAGATGTTTGGAGATTAGATGGTCTCTAAGCACTGGGTGGGCATGGCTCCAAACCATGCACACAGGGGCACGGGGACAGAATGTCTGTATGGGCTTATTGTCATCCCTGGATGAAAGCAAGAGGGTGACACAGTGAATGCTTTGGACAGGATTCCTTGACACAGAAGGTGCCTTTTAAGCTGTATTTCCTCTGTTTTCATGCTTAGGTGATACGCGGATAGATGCCACAACTCGCTAAAGTTGTAAAGTAGGAATGCTTTATTCAGCGCTGAGGCGCATGGGGGATAGCTCCTCCCCAGCATAGGTTTGTATTTGCACAAAATACCACTGGTCTTCATGATGCTTTTATATGTGCTTAGCTATTACACATGCTTAAAATGCACCCACAGGGACGCTGAATTTAGTCACAGGCCCCACAGAGAACCTTGATGTATGTGTCCATGTAGGAGCATGGTGGGAAGTCGAGATGCATGAGCTACCAAAGAGTGACACTGGCATACAGGAAATCACAATGAGCCCTTCTGCGTGCTGCTGGGAGTCAGGGGACCTGAAATCTGTTCTTATCCCTGCCACTGAGCACTGCCCTCAGCTGGGTCATTTCCCTCTTGTTGTTTCTTCTCCTCTTTCCACTTCTTTGAGATTAAAACTGTCCAAGGGGATAATTTCACAGACCAGCTCTGCACTGAATGGAGCCACCATTTCCACTGCCTTATCCATAAAGCTTGTATAGCTGTGAGCAAACCATGGCATTGACCCTGGTTAAAACAACGTGGGTTTGGGTTTTATTCCTGGTTTTGGGACTGCTAAGGGCTTGTGCTGGGGGAAGAACAAGGGCAGGAGCAAAGGCACAAAGCTTGTTCTGCCCCTTGGCTGACAGGAGCTGGTGAAAAGACCACCCATACACATGGTCTGCAGCAAGAGGTAACCTCCTGACCTGCCTGGTCTGAGCTGATCTCAGCCTGAAGGTCACAGCCAACAGGACTGCATTCTGCTGGTGCTGAGTTTCTTGGTTTATACAGTGGTGCACTTGGAAAAACTAAGGAGCCATAAGGAGCCACAGCTGGGTCCAGATAACGGTGCCCATCCGCCCTAAGTACAAACCTGGACCCAATACTTTCTGGTGCCTTACAAATCAATGAGCACCTGGAGAAGGCTCACAAGCTGCTGAGGTGCATAACCCCCTCCTCATCCTCTGTGTTCACTGACACAATGTTGAAGAGGGAAGCAGAGGAACAAGCACAGGGGAAACATGCTTGAAATTGGACAAACTCAAGATGTACTTCAAAGGCTCCACGGTGCCAGGCAGAAACAGTACTGCTCAGATGTATTTAACATCATATTAACACTCAGCCTCATACCCTAATGAGAAACAGTGTGACATTACTTATTCATTCTGAAATAGTTTATTGCTGTGATGGTAAGGCTGAACTATGGCTCCTGCAGAATCTTATTTTTCTTACCAGCTGTAATGAAGCTGGTTTCACAGGAGCCCTCTCCCAGTTGTAATGAGCTGCCTGTCTCCTGCCACTATGATTCAGTGAGAGAAATAAGACCAGCTGAGAAATACTTTATACTTTGATCTGTCTCAACAAATCAGTTCAAGAGCTCTAAAACAGAAACCCCAGGGAGAGGGAAGGGGAAGCGAAGTTCAAGCAGGGAAGTTTTAAAGCTATATTTGATTCATTTCACCAGAGCTATGGTAGTTAAGAAAATCACGTCTGTCCATCTTTTTTGAGCTTTCTCAGCTCTCTCAAGCCTTACTACACTCCTAACTTTAGACAACTTTATTTCAGAGGTAACCGAAAGAACAAGTGTCCATCTATATATCTATAGCTATATCTGTCCTGGG